GGGGGTTGGACTAGATAACCTTTAAAGGTTCCTTCCAATCTCTGTGATTCTATGATTCTATAATTTATTTCTGTCCATAGCAATCTCTGTTATGGGAGAAAGAGATCTTCATAAAAGTGAACACTGGATGAGCAAAAAGTACTACAATGTTATCGCCAGAGTCAGTTCTTAAGACATGATCCAGAGTTCAGTGATTCAGGATGACTGTTATTACCTGGTTCTATCTGTGCCGCTTTTATTTACGCTATACAATGGTTTCTCCTTAGGGACAGAAGCTACACATTTTGTGATAGGGGTAACCATGGCTATAATAACGAATTTAAAAGTATGGAGGTAAGATGATTTCTATTCAAGTCTTGCACCTTCTTACATAGAAAATCAGGATGTGCTAGGTGAACCACCAGAATATAGAATATATGATAGTTTTTGCAGTGTGCTTTTTCTTCCGTGTCACCCAGCCTTGTAAACTGTGAACACATACTAGGTCCACATATTTGTATTGCCTTTCATCGATGTGATGTGTACAAGGCCTGCTTCCTTGGGATCTTGTAGTAAAACTTGTCTGGGCTCACCTTAACTCCATGGAGCCAGATAGACTACAGTAAACCAAGCATACCATGTTTAGCTGTGGGACATTGAATTCTTTCATTCTTTCATTCTTCTACTGAAGTAATGACTGAACAATCTTCATAGTCTCTGGGAGTTCAGTGGAGCATCTGAAAACCTGTGTGCTCAAATAAACTAAATCTCATTGTCTCTGCTTATCTTACAAAATCTTAATCATATCATCAGAGCAAAAAAGTCATTAGTATAACCTGTATGTTAGTATAGCCTGTATTGCAGTTTCATCTCATTTTCACTTCAGTGAAAATATTTTGAGCTTTTGTTTTTTCATGTACTTTCTGTGATGTGAACCTTTAAGTAAGGTCAAGCATGCCACTATTAGTCCCATACTCTGTGCCTAAGAATCAGATTCTTCCAGGTCTTCACAGCTATATTAAAACCATATGTCAATATACTGATCAGAATGGTGCTGAATGTTTGTATGGAAAGAAAAGGTAAATTCTGGTTAACATGGAAACCTTAATCATAGATAATCTTATGCTGGTGGCACGATGATTGAGGAAATTTTTTTTCTTTATAAAGGAGCAAAATGTCTTAATGTTGTCTTTTTAAAATAAGTTAAAAATTCCTTTTCTATTATGGAAACATAAGCATATTATTTTAGAACAGGTCATTGTCCTGTTTAGTCATGTTTCCTGTATCTTATGGCAGGCAGCTCAGGAGGCTTATAAAGTAGTAGAAACTAATGTGAGACTAAGTAGTATGAGTATTCTGCTACAATGCTTGCAGACTCCAGCAAGGTCCGCCCAGCACTACATTGTACCGTTGGTGGTACTGATACAGGTCTCTGCTGAGCTTGGGATGGGCCTCCCCAGTTCCCTGCTCCTTGCTTTAGCCATGGCTATAGGCTCTTAAGTGACCCAAAGACTTCTTAGAATGCAACATGTATTAAAACAAACAAACAAACAAACCAACCCCAACCCCCCCAATGCTTATATTTCTGGCTTAATATTAGCCTTTAGATAGGATCTGTGAGTGTCATAACTCTGCATTTGTTGAAATGGCATTGTTACTGGCTGTTGCAATATTAACATAAAAAGGTGTGAATTTGAAACATAGCAGACAATAATTTTCTGCATTAAAAGTCTGCATCAAAATATTAAAGAATAACCCACCCCCCGATTCATTGCATTTTTCTTCAAATTATGTGCAATGGGCAAAATTTACCTTCTTTACCGGAACAATCCTGTATTTTAACTTTTATGACTATGAAAAGACTGTATTTTGTCCAATAACCCTGTTTCTGTAAAATGCGACTGAATTGGTTTTGAATTTGGATTCCTTTAGATGACAACTTTAGTTTTATTACAATCTAGGCTATATTCTTAGCATATGGCCCAAGCTTTAAAGAGAAAACAGAAGTGGATGCTTTTGAAAACATCGAGGTTTACAACCTTATGTGTGGTGAGTAGAAACAATCCAGTACTTTAGATGATAAACCAACAGTGTTTTCAAATACCAGTGTTGTAAGAGCTAAAAGAAGAGTAACTAAAAATTCAGTTAATTCATTCAGAAGCTAGGTTTTTCACACAGAACACTGAAGCCATGCTCTTTTGCCTTCTGTACAGTGCTAAAATTTAACTGTCAGAAATTGTTCTGCTTTGAAGATTGTTTCTGATTGCAGAAGGAGTCCGCTAAAGAATCAGAGAGAAGCTCTCCTGCCACATGGGCTTGCTGTTGAAATGGTGCCTGTGGAATAATTTTGGGATAAGAATCTTGTAGAGAGTTACCGCTCTTGCTCATAATTTAAGATGGACCATTGCAGTCCTAGCAGTGAGCAATTAGGAAGTATGTGCCTCAGAAAATGTGGATTAAGGCATCACACAAAAATGCAATAAATTAGTATGCTTCACAATGTAATGCTTTTGCAATCACATTTGTACTCTGCATTAAATCATGTAATCTTATGAATGTTATTATGGCAATGTATAAAACTGTATCAACAGTACTCAAATACATAATTACCAAATCTTGATGCAGTGGAAGATAGCAATGAACCATCATACCTAGAAAATTGCAAGTTGATGGTAGGAATCACCATAATAGTTTAGATAACTGAATAAGCTATTTCTTCTATATTTAGAATGAATGCGTAGGAAATGTGTAGAATTGGAAAGATAATGACTTTTAAAAATGCCATTTTAGTCTCAAAATTGCTTTAAAATATGCTTACAAATTTTAAATGTTTCAACAGATTTGCTGCATATTACACCAGCACCAAACAATGGAACACATGGCAGCTTGAATCACCTCTTAAAAAAACCTTTTTACAGTCCTTCACATGCAAAAGAAGACTCATCTCCTTCTTCATGTCCAGTTTCCCGTCTGACTCCCATAGATGAACTGGGATGCACATGCATGCAAGTAGGGGCTTCTGGGATCTTTTAATCATCTTTGTCAAGTGTGTTCTCTTTTCTTTGTTTTTTCTAAACTATGGATTCATTCTGAATGCTTATTTTATATTTTACAGATATCAAATGTTTCAGTACTAAATGAGAGGTTAAATCTCACCACAGAAGAAGGTAAGTAGCAAGAAATGAAAAGGACAGCAGTATTTTTAAATCTATGCCTGGTTTAGATTTTATATTATTGGTTTCAGTGGGAATTTTTGCAATGTTAATTACAATTTAAAGTGAAGTAGGAAAGCCAAGTCAGAAGCATAACTTTTTTTCTTTTTTCTTTGCATTTCTTTAAAAAATGCTGATTGATACTGTTATAGCAACATTTATGCATAGGAACCTGATCTGAATCCCATGAAAATCTTGGAAAAAACCATACAGGTTTCAGTGTTCTTTGGAGAAAGCCCAAGCACTTCCAGGCTATATGCCATAACTCTTGTTTCCCACCTTTTAACCATAATTTTGCCTTTCTCTGATCAAAAATTCCCATAGATATTTCTGAGTGCTTTTTAATGGGGTTTCTGGAAATTTTAGGAAGCATTGTAATACTTCCTAGCCAGATAAGATGTAAATTTCACTCCACTGGCAATGCAAGTTCAAAAGATTTATATTGCTATGAAATTGCAAAGAAACAAGAATTTGCAAGTTTTATATATTACATTGGCTTCTGTACGTTAAACGTAACATGAAAACTATTTTCTACATTTTTTATTCCACTCAGAAGCTAAGAGCTTAAAGAAACACATGCCCATGTTTACTGTTGGTTTTATTTGTATTTATTGATGTTTTAGTTTACATTTTTCTCTGCTCTCTTAAACCTTTGTGCCATCCAAAATGTTATAGAAGAATGAATCAATAATTATTGCTTAAATTCTAGTAAAGAAGGCAAACTTGTATCATTTGCCATATGGAAGACCCAAAGTTCTTCAGAAGAAAAATGTCTACTGCCTCCTTTCACATCATCAGTATGTGAGTGGATACAGCTATGACATCTGGATGCCACTGTGGACTGCATACACTGTGAATAAGCCTGTAAGTTATCAAATATCTGTACTATTCTTAAACATGTAATATAACGGATTGAAAATGTGGTTCATTCACCAGAAATCCTGGTTAAGGACTGGTGGATATCACGTGACTAAGGCCCTTATGTCTGAAAAAGAAAAAGTGTCTTTGATATCTTTTAAGTTTCAACTGTCTTAAAATGTTGTTTAAAAAAGTGGGAATGGCCACGTGTTAGGGACACAAAAGATACAGAAGAATAGAGCTGCTGGTAAGCTGGTTCCATTAAGCCTGTTCTGTCAAAGGGATAAGCTGTAAAGACAGTGCTCCAACTTGCCTGTCAATTCCTGAGGAAAAGCAGGCTGTGATTTCCAAAATCAGAAGCTTTTAAGCTTTCCTATGAATATCGTGATATTTTTCCTATTAACAAACCTTTGTACAACTCTGCCAGACAGTTTGTACTAATGCATATTTCTGTACATTCTGTTTATTTGCTCTCTACTACATCACATAATTTCTGAAAAATGTAATTATAGCTGAATGAACCTCTCAGAGTTCAAGGATATGTGGCTCTGGAATAAATTGTTTGAGTTTTCAGGGTCAGTAAACTAGTGGACAATCATGGGCTTAATTCCCCCTATAATTTGATGCTTTTTCTAAGTTGCCCTGGGGAAATAACTTTTACACTCATTATTCTGTCTGAAGAGAACTGTTATTGATGTCTATATGATTTCTTACTTTATCAGTACAAGTATGGGGAAATTATTTTAATCAAATATATGCTGCTAGAATGTTAGTATTTTAGAAAGTTTTACTCCATACTTTCTACTGATTTTTCACAATCTGGGTGAAGGATCACAAATCCAACCCTAAGAAGGCCAGTGAAACAAATGTCCATTTCAACAAGGATTATTTTTACTTCATCATATTTGAAGATCTGCTCTTACAGCTTACTATGGAAGTGCATTACCTTAATGAAAACCAGTTAATTGTGGGCAGTTTTTTTTTCTGATTTTGCTTTGAAAAGGTTAAAATATCCCACCAGAGCTGGGGTGTTTTTAATATTTCAGCACCAGCAGCAAAAAGCTCAAAAACAGCAAATAATTTTTCAGACATTTTCCTGTGTTGAAAACCAAATACTCAGTTGGAAAAGAAGTGTATAAAGAAAGTTGTTGCCCAATATAACATCTAAATCAACAGAAATACATATTTGTGGGAGTTTCTTATAGTGGTTTATGCAACATGCGAATGATTGAGACTCAAGTATTGGAGGGTATAGTTCACAACAGACTCTAATACAATGATGTATGTTTTCTATAGAAAGAATAGGAAAGAATAAATTTCCTCTGTAATACTCTCAGAGACACAATGGTGCAAGGTTTTAAATGTAAGAGCTCACTCACTGACTTACCTTACACAAGTAAGCTGACATGATTTTTCATTACAGCATGTACTAATCAAGAGAAAAAAGCTTTATAAACTATAACAGCAGTGGAAGGACAGAGGGATAGAGCTAATGCCTTTGACTGTAAGCTTTGGCTACAATACTTGGGAATGACAGAAAATTGCAATTTCTACAGAATTTTTATTGCATCCTAGGTTACTTATGTTGTGGATAAAGCCTGTGCAGTGATTTACACAATTTGTAAGGTGGGGCATTTCTTGGCATTAGGTAGCTATAAAGAAGGGCTTAAACAGTAAAATAGATGATGGAGGCTGGAGTTTTGCTGGTTGTGTGTGATTTGGAAGTTTTGAAACTGGTCTGGCTAATCAAGCCAGTATTAATGCACCTGCATGTGATATCAGAATCAGGGATATTATGAATAACATATAGTTACAGATCTTAAATAAATTATGTCAGATAGAGTTTTGGTTACTTAGTATTCTCAGTCAAAGGAAAATTTAAGATTGAAGGACATCGATTTTCTTGAGGTTTTATACTATCTGCCAGGTAGGAAGGCAGATTTTCTTGCAAAAAGATAGTCCCTCCACCTGCCTGCAGACACCTGTGGAATTTATATAGCTTTGCTATGTAGAATCACTGAAGTTTACTATAAAAATATATTAAAATGTAGAACAATATAATCTATCATGCAGTGTGATGAAAACAGCAATGAGACTTGTATAAATCACTGGGATTTTTGCAATTAAAGCTCAGTGTGCTGGGGATTATGGGAGTTTTGTTTTTTGTGGTTTAGTGTTTTTTCTTCTTGACTGCTGAAAAAAGATTCCTGGAGATGGCTGAAGTTGACATGACAGACCACAGCAGATGCTTAAACTCTGTCATGTAATGAGAAGGGCAACGAAGCTGGTGAAGGGTCTGGAGAACAAGTCTTATGAGGAGCGGCTGAGGGAACTGGGACTGTTTAGTCTGGAGAAGAGGAAGCTCCGGGGAGACCTTATTGCGCTCTACAACTACCTGAAAGGAGGTTGTAGCGAGGTGGGTGTTGGTCTCTTCTGCCAAGTAACTAGTGATAGGACGAGAGGAAATGGCCTCAAGTTGCACCAAGGGAGGTTTAGACTGGATATTAGAAAAAATTTCTTTACTGAAAGAGTGGTCAAGCCTTGGAACAGGCTGCCCAGGGAAGTGGTTGAGTCACCATCCCTGGAAGTATTTAAAAGACGTGTAGATGAGGCGCTTAGGGCCATGGTTTAGTGGGCATGGTGGTGTTGGGTTGACGGTTGGAGTTGATGATCTTAGAGGTCTTTTCCAACCTTAATGATTCTATGATTCTATGATTCTATGAAATAACTCATGCTTCTTGACATTAATTACTAGCTAGTCAAAAGACAATAACCTGCATCAGAAAAGGTAATGCATGATGTGATAGGCAAAGCCATTTTTTAGTTTTAACTGTTCTCTTCAGAAGACATTATGGTTCTTTGACCTGAAAGACAAGGACCTAAAGGGCTAAAGCTGTTGAATTGGTGATGAATATTTTTTTCTGATTCTGAAGTTTTGAGGTGGTGGCTATCACTGTCAAGATCTCATTTCTTAATAAATGATCACTTTCAACAGCTTCTTTGAGAATCGTTCTATTCTTATTCATAGGCAATCTGTTTAAAAATAGCTTATTCCTCTATTTTGAGGAAAAGACATGAAGAGAGGTTGTAGCAGGGTGAGTGTATTTCACAGAGCATTAGCAATACGGCTTCCAATCTGGGGTTGCATTACCTGTTGATCTCATTGTACTAAAAGGTGACATAGACATAGCCATTCTCACAGCTTTTGATATTGTTTACTTGCTGACTTGTAGATCCCTGAAAAAACAAGCTGAAGTATTCTTAAGTGGTTGCTTTTTCAGTATTTTGAGAGTTCGTAGGTTCATTATGAATTCTCACTTCTTCAGTTGGAGAATTTTCTCCTGTGATGTCCAAGGGAAATAGCCATGAGCAGCCTTCATCTAAATGTATGGGAGTGTTTGTGAAAATATAGGTTATATGATGTATTACATATGTGACGGACAGACAGCTCTAAAACACTGTCCTCCTGCCTTGGCACTTGGATTAGAGCTCATAGCTCATATAGTTAGCGTCAAGAAATGTGAAATAACGAGGAAAGAGTTGAGTGGTGTCCTCATTGCTTCAAGTTGGATGTGAATGCTATTAATACCCCAGATTCATGATATAGGTCAAAAGTAGATTGCCTGCTGCATTTCGATAACATTAGGTGTGACCACTGTATTTAGTGAGAGGAATGAAGTTCTCTTCAGGACAGTCCTTGGCATGTTTAGTCAGACATTTGTTACTTCAATTCAGGTTTCCCTTCAGAGACCATACAGAAGTTGAAGCCGTTGTTGAATATCACAGCTCAATTACTGAGTTTAAAATATTGGTTTCTTCAGCAACCCTGATGCATTAACCCTGCCTTATTGATTTGGACACTAGAAAGGACAAATTGCTCAAATGAATTGGATGTCGATTTTGTATTGGGATTTACATTTGCTTGACAATGACAGATTATCTGCTCAAGTGGCAAAGGCAGTCTTTTGTGTGTTATATTTCATTCCATGTGGTATATATATTTTCCATTAATATACAACCTGACCATAACATGGGCATCTACAGGAATTCTCATGAAAATAAGTAAAGAAATTAAATCAAGGAGTACAAGGAGGCACAAGAAGAACATTCCAGTTCTTTATTTCTGCTTGGTTTTAATTGATAAAAATAATCAATGTACTGAAAATCAATTTAGATGTTTAACTACTGTTTATAAAGGTATAAAGCAAATAAATATGTTCCATTCTTACCAAAAGGAAAATAAATTACATGTAAATGAGTGTGAAAAAGAAAATGCAGTTAAACACAGAAAAGCATATTCTGATGTTTTAGTTAACGCTATCATAAAATTACGATAAAGGGTATAAAAAAGGTTCTAGAAAAAAAAGTAAAGGTTATAGAAACAGTTATACTCATCAGAATCACTTTCAGCCAGATCTTAGCTAATGTGCATGTTAACGCGTCTCAGTGAAGTTAGTGAAGCTAGCCAGTAAAATGTACTGAATTTACTATGAATTTATTTAGCTTCAACTCTTCACAGACTCTTATTATGGAGGTAGCATCCTCAGATGCTAAGATGAGGTGATAGTGTCATCTTTATATACTAGCTGCTTTCCAGGAGGATGTGACATCAAGTTTGTGTTTCCAGAAATATGTAAAAGTGATGAATGAGCCAAACTTGTCACCTGTTTTTGCCTAAGGTATAAGCTTATTTTGCTACTACAATTTTACATGCTGCATAAGGGTTTCCCTGAATTACCTAAAAACAGAAGTAGAGGAAAAACACTAGGCAGAATACATCAGTGTCCATTACTTGCATTGACCTGATTCACTATGAAAATAGGAGAAGATTCAATAAAGTCTGTTCTAGAAAGTTAAAACCATACAAAGCATTGGGTTAGCCACAGCTGTGGGTGTAATACTTTTTTTTTTTTTCCTTTTCACAGGAAAACACATCTCCTCTTCCTCCCACTCTTTCAGACTGTCTGCGGGCTGATGTTAGAATCCCTGTTGCTCGGAGCCAAAATTGTTCCAACTACCCAGAACGGCTGACCTTCACCCGCAGTTTCCTCTATCCTCCCAGTGAGCATGGTTCTTTTTATAGCTAGAGCTTAGAAAGTCTTAATCAGCTGGATGTGGGTTTATGTTTAAACATATACCCAAACACCAAAACAAACTTCTTCGGATCAGCATGTTGGGCAGAAAAAGGTTTCCAGTGTTTGTAGGCTGACTAAAAGCAGAGCAACTGCTACTTGTATCTAAATATTTTCAGTTTAGAACATTTAAGTTTTTCTTTAAAAAATGGAACAACTTGAATGTGATGAAAACTGGTTGGAAAGATGTAAAGGGTTGGAGTGAAGGGCTGTCCCTCTTCCTCTGTATGAATATTCATTTCCTATTGTCAAATTTGATAATTACTTTATTGAACAGATTGTACAAACAAATTTAGAGATATGTTTGCGGTAGGATCATACAGCTCATGCTAAAATGTAAAATGTAATTGAATTACATGTACTTGCAATTTATAGTGACATATGAATCAAATTTGTCTTTGTATAGTATTTCATTAACTTATACTTTGTTCTTTTATATAGACTTCAATTCATCTGCTCTTGAGCAGTATGATGCCTTACTCACCAGCAATATTGTTCCCATGTATAGAGCTTTCAGAGGTAGGTTGCAAAGTTTTGATTAATTTTGATTAATTTTCTGTAATTATGGTTCTGGATTTGATAAAGCTATGACAAGGACTTAAAAACGTTAATGCATCACCTGCAGTATATCCAGATCCTGTGCAAATATATTTAAAACTTTTTAAAAGTAGATGTGTGAAATTTTAAAATGCACTTATGTAAGTTAATTTTTTTTCTGTGTATAGTCCTGTCTGACCTCTGCTTAGGTGTACCTGTTCACTTTTGAATTTTCTCTTCATCTCCTGTGTGCTGTCCTAACACGAAATGCTAGCTATGAAACTCTCATGAAAATATCCCCTTGGGGAAATGCTCGAGGTGAATGAAAATGGCACTTTTTCTTTCCTTTTGCAAGGTCTCAAGAGAAGACAGGATGAAGTTTGTAAACAATGCCCTGATACAGTGCCTGTTTCATCAAGCAGAAACTCAAACCAGACAGTATTAATCTTGGAATATTTATTTCAGGCAGATGTTTCTATTATACAAGTGCAGTAAGATACATTAACTCTTTCCATCCAGCCTGACTCACATTTGTTCATAATCACTAACAGGAAATTTTCTATAGCTGCATATCATCCTGTTTTACTCTTAGGCCTAGGCTCATTTTCTTAGACAAACGATAGAAAGAGGAATTGTGTAAGGAAAAAGCTGGAGGAAAAGCAATGATGTAGCTACCTTTCTAATGCATTCAGACCTCATTTATTCATTCACTCATGTCATATAAAAAACAGAGATCCAGAAAACCTAAGTGGCTTTAATCTTCCAAGTAAATAAAAGACATGAAAAATCTGATTTTCCAAGGAAAACTCTACAAGAGATTTAAGCTTACAAGAAGTTACTCTAGACCATAAGCAAGAGGTAAATCAATAGGGGATGCCCTCAACCCCTGAAACACATCTGGTTTTTTTGCCATGATAGCTGTAAATATTTGAATAGTCTCACTAACTTATATCCTACAAATTGTATTTTCTCAAATAACATCTGTGAAACAAGCCAAATTGTCTAGTGATATTTGACATGAGTTCTGTAGAGTTAGACTAACTCTCAGGTGGTAAATATTCCTCTCACGAAGCCATTATCTCAGTTCCCACTAATTGGCACAGTTGCAAGTGCTAGCAGAAGGCCAGAAATGAATGACCTCTCAGCTCTAGAATTGTAGCTTCAGCTTCAGGTCAAATGCATTATCTCCAGTAGTGCAATGGGCCTTGCAGAGCTATAATAGCATTTACCATGCCTCTTTCAATGGTGAGTGAGAGTATGTCCCTTCTGACGAAATCCAAATTTTGTGTAACCAAGAGTTGATTTTACAGGCAGTTTAGTTTGGAACTTTTTATTATTGATCTATAGCGAAGCAAGAAAGATGTTCTTTTTCTTTAGTGGTGAAATAACTTCACATTTATGGTAAATATGCTTATATTTTCTTTTAATGACAGACATATGGGACTATTTCCATAATGTGCTTCTTCAGGAGTATGCTAGAGAAAGGAATGGAGTAAATGTTATCAGTGGACCAGTGTTTGATTACAATTATGATGGCCATTTTGATACCCTTGATGAAATTAAGCAGTAAGTACATGGAAAAGCCAGACCAGTTTATTTCCCACTGTATTTCCACACAAACAAACTTCTGTTCAAAAAGAACAAGAAACAAGTATGACATAATAATGGAGTAATATTACATCCACTGTTACTCATACAACAGCAAATACTCTTGCAAACAGATACAGTACTGTAGAAGTTGAAGTTCCAGTAAAGAGAAAAAAGCTTTGCAGTTACATGTGTATCTATGTACACATGCACGGATACAGACCAGTAATTTGTTTCCCAAGCTTGTGCCTAGATTTTTGGGCCTCTGCAACGGAAATACTGGGAGAATATATGACATTTAAATATGCAGAAGATGTGCTTAAGCTTAATTTTCTCAGTTTCATGTTGTGCTCACTCACCTGTTTGTTGTTTCTCCCTGTTGTCTCAAACTGATGTGTTTTATCAAAGATCAGATTTCTGTGTTTGCCTTCACTGAATCAGGTAACTGGGAATGTAAAATTCTTGAGTGGTACCTTTGCATAGCTATGGCTTAAACAGGTCCCTTGAAGGTCTGACAAGTTCTAGGTACATTTTAGTGAGCTCTGGTAGCATAACAAAATAAGTTTAAAAAATCATCTGTGTGTAGAAACAGGAATAAAAGAAGACTTACATAAAAAAAAATTCTATAAAAGAGAAATATAAAAGGTAAAGACCAATTATTTATGTTAGTGAATGAGGACAGAAGGAGGAAAAAACAGAGTAAGAACAAACAACTTAGATTGTTCCAAATATAGAGAAAATGGCTTGTGACAGTAAGAACGCTTATGTAGTAGAAAAGTGCTGGGAAATCTGCACAGCTGAATCTGTCCCTGGAGATGTTTTATTCAAGGCTAGACTTAATACCACATCTGTCAAAAATGGTTTGAGAATGGGAAAATCTGCTCTGCCACGAAGTAGGAGGGTGGAAGGGAGGAAAGTCTAGAACTTCCTTCCAAGCAGAATGCTGTAATACCTAGTTGACCACATAATGTTGTCTACAGTTTGGAATAAGCATGTTTTATTCAGCATGGTTAGTCAGTCATATGAAGCAGTATAATGTTTCAGTGATGGTGTTTTGTTGAATACTGAAGATGTACAGCAAATTTGGGAAGCATTCAGCTCCTCATAAGTTTATACACGAAAGTGACCATGTTCACGGAATAGCCAGAAAAGGGAGGGAAAGACATGGTCTATCCTGCCTCTTCCAGATGTAAAGATCTCTGGCTTTGGCAAAATAGAGTGTTGACCATGTAAGCAATCCTGTTGGTTTCAGTGGGACTGCTTGTAGCAAAAGGATTAATCCATGCATGTTTGGCTATTCATGAAACAGATAGGGAGGCTGTCTATCCCATCAGGTATTTATTTCAATTATAAAATAAATAAAAGTTATATAGTAGTGAAAGATCTATGCTGATATGAGTTCTGTGGTTTTAATACTTGACATCTAGATAAATCCCTTAATTAATGTTTGTTTTGTAGGCATGTAAACAATACAGAAATCCCTGTCCCAACTCATTACTTTGTGGTTCTGACTAGCTGCAAGAACAAGTCCTATACTCCACTAAACTGTTCAGGCTCCTTGGATGCTTTGTCTTTTATCATTCCTCATCGACCTGACAACACTGAAAGCTGTGCTGTAAGTATAGTTCTATGCTCCTGTGTGCCAATGAGCTTTGTGAACTGATTCCCAATGGGATCCAGTCATCTGGAGAATCTTTAGAAGTCTAAGTGTTTAATTAATTCCCCATGAGTTGAGAAGGAGTTGAGAGCTAAAGTGATGACTAGGAGAGCAAGAAGCTCTAGGAGAGGTAGCTGGAAACTAATGAGCTGATAGGAAGCAAGGAAGAAGAAGAAAGGAGGGTTTGATAAGAGGACTTAGAAATGCTGTCATCTGAGAAGGGCTGAGAACAGCAGCACAGCCAACAGGGTGCTGAGATAGCTTTATGGAAGGCTGCAGGATAAACTTACTCCAGAGGTATCAGAGGACTTTGAGTGTTACTCCCTTCAGTGTAGCTAGAAGAATTCCTTCTTGTTCCACCTTTATCAAAATTAGACAGTAGGCATTTAGATGGATGGTTCTGCAGCTGAAATTCATACTTGAATAAAATAAAATCTATGCTTACCACTAACAGCGTAAATCTCATGTTTTGTAGCAAACAAAATAAATTAGCTGAGTGTAATATGTATTGTTGAGCCACCTGAGTGTCTATTCCATAAACTCTGGGATGCAGAAGGTTCCTTAGCTCAGTGTCTGTATTAGAGTCTCCCCACACACAAGTATAGCTGCACAGACTTGAACTGGCCCTAAAAGCAATACAACTGTGCTTATTTAGTTTATTTATAACTTTGAACTCATAACTCCAGACAGGTGCAAGCTTGCGCTGCTTAGAAACAACTTGGGTGTCTCCTCATTTGTGGTGTGGATAATCCACAACTGCCCAGTGATCTTTCCGGTAGTTGAAAGTTGACTAAATGTACAAAATAAAAATTTGAATGAATTAGTCTTTATATTTTAGAAATTAACATCTGTTATTTCTGAAGTTTAGCAACAAACCCCAAATATCATTGCACTTTATATTCATTGTGTCTTGCAGTGACGTAAATTTAATGAACCATTTGTGTCAGAAGCAGATGTTGTTAATAGAAAAGCAAATAACCATCTGTTTGCAAAAAAACTTTGTAGTAAAAGAATTGAACAATAACATTTTTGATTGATTAGTGCTTACATTTCCATTGTTTCCCCTGTGTATCTAGCAATTATTATTGCTGTCCAACAAACAAGACTGAGCTGCTGTAAGGACTTTGTTCAGGCTGTGAGGTGCCTGTTGTTTGACTAGCCTGAGCACTGCAGCTAATTTATACTGTAACTAAAACTATCCTTACTTGTGTGTTTAAAACATGGCTCAACTGTACTTTGTAGTTAATAGTCATACTTGCCATTTCAGCATAATTTTGCTTCTCTGTTACTTTGGAGGTGGGGAGGTGGGGAGAGGGGACAGCCATTTGATTCTGTTTAAATGAGATCCCTAAATGCAAGGCTGTAAAGATGTCTAGGAAAACTTGAAAGAGGTTTTACCAACTGGAGGCCTTTAGTCTGTCAAACCAGTTCAAACACTGGTTATTGTCTAACACCACCACCAAACAACAGAGTGCCTTTTATGTGTTTGAACATTGTTCTTGTTTGTTTTGGCAGGAAAATAAGACACCTTCTGAATGGGTTGAAGAAAGAGTTCAGGCTCATTCTGCACGTGTTCGGGATGTGGAGCTGCTAACTGGGCTTGACTTTTACCAGGAAAGAAAGGAACCCATCTCCGAGATCTTACAGCTAAAGACATTTTTGCCAATATTTGAGACTGAAATTAACTGAGTATCTGTTAAAAAAGTGTCAGTGTCAGTGCTTGAAGAAAGTTAAGTTAAAAGTTAAGTGATTTAACTTTTTTCCGTGCTAAAGTATGTAAAGGAAACATGACTACAGCTCTTCTATAGGAAAACACACTTAGAGGAGCTAATTTCTTTTTTCAAATTCATGTTCTTTGGTCAAATGTTTTGTGCCAATAAAAATTACCCAAAGTAAATTAAATCATCATTGCTGAGGCAGGCTTTCAAAATAGAGAGTATTTTATTAGTAGTGGTTTGAAAAAAACCTGCAAAAGGAACACGTTTCATAGTAGAGAGACCCCAGAATTGTAAACTCTATAGAAAATATTTCTATAATGGAGTTGGAAAGTGAAACAGTTTGAGAGGAGTGTGTTTTTTCCCTTGTGTTTATCAGAGAGGTTATAGTTATCTAATACTAGTATGTCCTGAAATGTTCTGAATTTCTCTTTCTCACCTATTAATTCACATGGAAACTGCTATGTATTTATGTGGAAGTGTCTTCTATGATCATCCCCTGTGTCTTCCACTTGGGTTAATTCATTATGCAAGTAACAAGTGATGTGAAGTTAGAGTAAATGAGCTATATTCTATACCCTTCAGAAATCTTAAAGCATTCTGAACATGAAGAGGTAAAAAAATGCTCTAGCCAGAAGAATTTACCTGTATTTGCAACAATTTCCAAATACCTGGCAATACCTAAATGTTTGTGTCTATTTTGAAATAGTTAAACCTGAGATTAGAGCACAACATTAGTGGTGACATCCGAAAAATAGTCAGTTTTCCTTTCTGTAGTGACTTTATACGCAGAGACTCTCTAACTGACACTGTGCTGTACACAAATTACTACTGAGGGTAGGTAAGTGGGACAAGGCAGTGGAAATTCCCAGAGTCTGCTATTACAGAAATGTCATACGTTAATTGAGTGTTGAGCTGATTTTCTCCACTGAAAAGGCTGCTAAGTGCAGGTATGAATAACCGTTTGTCTGATTTATAGGCACAGTGGGGGAGTTTTAAAGAAACATGTCAAAGAATGTTTCAATCTGTAACTAATTGTGGACTGAAGGAGATAAGTCTGTTTAAAAATGGAAGCTTTAAAAACCTATACAAACCCCCCCCAAAACCACAGGACATTTTTTTCCCCACGTCTTAGATGATCAGTGTATGCACATACACTCCGAATGTAGTTTAGCAATATTTACCTTACCTCAAGATGTGGGACAAAGCTGAATGTTAAGATTTGTATCTTTGGTTAAACCATTACACCATCTCCTTGAACATGGAATTGTATTTCAGCCTGCAACACTGTGGCACCTAAGTCTGTCCATCTAAATCAGAGACTTCTGCTAAACTGCCTCAATTAAGAATACAACTGATTTTTCACTGCATAGTAAATCATACCGTAACTCTAGTCAATGAATCTACATAACACATACTAATTTAGGCATGTAAATGAACTAGTCTAGAATCATAAAATTAATTTCAGAGATAAGAAGAAACAAACAGTTTCTTAAGAGTAAAATATTTGTATGTCTACATGAGCAATTTAAAGTAGAACTAGCTTGACTGATGTGATGTTGTTGTGACTTGATATATTTAAATTTGAATTAACCTCTGTATCACCAACCATGGCAGCAATACAAGCTTCAGGCCAATACTCTAGTTCAATTATGAAAGGAAATTGGTGTAGATATGCCTTTGTGAATAGTTACACTCATGTTTGAAATATGTATATCTCTGGGTATGTGCATGATGAAATAATGTCTTTGAGGTTTGCCCAGACTTCTGAAAATTAATTTCATCCATGCTTTCACACACAACAGGTATTGGACTTAAATAGCAGCAAAATTAATTTGCTGTCCTCCTTCACAAGATTCTTTAATATTCTTATCAAGATGTCTAGCCTACCCCCCTCAAAACACCCCACCCTGCTGATAAGAGTTGGCCCCTTCTGCGTAAAGATCCCTGCCTTCAGGCTGATAAAAACTATAATTCTCATTCAGTATTTGTATAGCATCTAACACAAGAGGATCTTGATCACATATTTGGGTTTTACACAGACGTTTGTGGTAATGGAGTCTGAAGTTGCAGTTACTCTAAGAAAGCAAATATGAAAATGGTTTTGCTATAATCATGTTTATTTCCCCTACTACTCGTTCAGCTGTCATAATAGCTAGCATTCAAAAGAGTAGTGGATCATTTATAGATAAAAGTATGGAGATTGCATAGGAATATCTAACTGGAAATTTTCTATGAGTAAAGAAGTTGGTTCTTAGCCCTTTATTCTTCCTTTGGCACTGATGCCTGGGTACTCTCTTCATGTTGCAGAGTCTCCAGCTTTCTCAGTGCTAATTCTCTATGCAGTCTCATACAGCTTCTGTCACACCCCGTGACATAAACTCTGCTATAAACTGCTTCTGGCAGCATTGTGTTCCCTCTCCTTCTCCCCAGAGGCTGTAATGTCCCTCTGTTAGTTGATCTTGTGGTCTCACAGGCCTCCTTAAACCTGTTGCATTTTTTGTTACTTACAGGAACAACCATGGGAAGTTTTCTTTCTCCCATCACTACTAAGTTCAACCAGGGAGCCTAGTCATCAATTGCTTTAGAACATGTCTGGATTTCTGACTGATTTGGCGGAAAACTGTGAGCCAAGTTTTCTTGCTTTCCCTTCCGTAGTTACATGACCCAGTGCCTGCATTGGAGATTGGGAGAACTAGTAGTGAAGTTGATAGAATCATAGAATCATAGAATCATTAAGGTTGGAAAAGACCTCTAAGATCATCGAGTCCAACCGTCAACCCAACACCACCATGCCCACTAAACCATGTCCCTAAGTGCCTCATCTACACGTCTTTTAAATACTTCCAGGGATGGCGACTCAACCACTTCCCTGGGCAGCCTGTTCCAATGTTTAACCACTCTTTCAGTAAAGAAGTTTTTCCTAATATCCCTATCCTAAACCTCCCCTGGCGCAATTTGAAGCCATTTCCTCTTGTCCTATTGCTGGTTACTTGGAGGAGGAGACCAACACCCACCTCGCTACAACCTCCTTTCAGGTAGTTGTAGAGCGCGATGAGGTCTCCCCTCAGCCTCCTCTTCTCCAGGCTAAACAGTCCCAGTTCCCTCAGCCGCCCCTCATAAGACTTGTGCTCCAGACCCTTCACCAGCTTCGTTGCCCTTCTCTGGACACGCTCCAGCACCTCAATGTCCTTCTTGTAGTGAGGGGCCCAAAACTGAACACAGAATTCCAGGCGCAGCCTCACCAGGGCCGAGTACAGGAGGACAATCACTTCCCTACTCCTGCTGGCCAAACCATTTCTGATACAGAATGATGATAGGGGACAGATTTGGCTCTGTGTACCAGCCTTGCATCACGTAAATAAAGCTGCTTATGGGAGGAAGTGCAGCTCTCAAACCCTGGCGATTCATGCAAGGGAAATTCATTAGTATTTGGGCTTTGGTGACCTTATCTAAAATTTTTAAGCAGTTCTTAGGCTTGCACAGGCATTTTTGTTTAAATTTGAAAATAAATGTAATGCCTTATCCATTTATAGAAATAAAAAATAGAAAAATCTTGCCAGTTCATAAGAAAACAGTAAATACTGTGTACAGACGGTTGCATTACCGGTAGAGATATAGCCTGAAACTTATACAGTTCACTAAGACATTTGTACGGATCTTTTCCTGTTTGAAATAGTGTAAATTCTGCAAGTTGCATGGAGATGGAAATGAACAGCTGCCTCAAACAGAATTCATGTGCCCCCAAAGCTAGAAACTACAGCACAGTCATTCCAAGAATCTAAAAAATTTATTTTATTCAAATAATATTGACCTGGAACATTTCAGCCACTTATGTTTCACGACTCTCAAATGGTTGTCCTAGTTTGCATTTCAAAAGCAAAGAATACTTATTCTTCATTAAAGTTATCAAATATATGAAAGTTCTGGTATGTAGAGGAGAGTAGGAGGGGAGTAAGTTCTATCTTGCAGTTCAAAGGCAGTGAAACTCTATGTGACATTGTAAGAAGTCTAGTTGGCACACGCTCCTTACTATAGAAAAGCAGGACAAAAGCACAGTTGACTGAATGTATAAAATTGGTTATTTTTTTTATTCAGAAATGCTGAGAAGTTCAGAAGTTAAAATAAAGGAACAGTAAAAGTAACAACAAATAGACAATAACACATAGTAAAACCAGCATATGGCAAATATTTAATTTAAAAACATACTCCTCCTTTGATAACCACTCTGCTTTGTCCTGAGAACTAAGAAATGATGCTGTTTCTGAAAGTTTCAAGCTTCTCCTATTTCCTAGGGGCTGTGGGTATAACTTCCCCAAAATGGCAAGCCCTTTGTTTCTGTGTTTTTTAGCCAGTTTTGGGACCCCTAAGTATGAAGCTGGAGTGGAATAGGTGTAAATCAATCTGCTGACTGTAAAAGCAGATGTTGCCAAGTCCCAGCTCTCATAGCCACCTTATGTGTGAGAATTAAAAACGTAAATTCTGTAAAACGTGATTTTCATAGACTGCTATTGAAGCTGAGAAACTGAGCACTCCTGTAGCCATTGAAAATCTGAACTCAGGAGGATCTGGCTGTTTCCCTCTCTTATACTTGGGGGTTTTTTGAGTTTGAGAGTATTAGAACCAAACCTGTAAGCAAATACAGAAATTTGGCACTACCTATAAATAGTCTTGTCTTTGTAGCAAGGCAGAGTAATAACGAAAGAGAGCAGGCAAGGGAAACACAGCCTACCCTGCTCCAGAAAATCCTACAGCCAGAGCAAGGAAAAGCTTAGCTGATATTTTTTTAGCAAGGGCTACTGTTTCCCAAACACCACACCCTGGCTCTGTGAGACTGTCATCATATAAAACAAACATTTTTTTTTGCTTAATATTTATTATAGAGACCGCTGGCTTTTTGTCAGTACCTCACTAAAGGCTACCTTCAAAATTGAGAGCAGACGTTTAAATGGCACAGAATACCCTTGACTCCTACCTTGGACATTCTTCCTTAAGAAAAATAGTATTAATGGATATAGAAAGGGCTGTTTTTTCAAATTACCTCCCACACTGGTCCTGCAATGTTTGTACATAGGATGGTGGGATTTTTCATATGCAAAATGT